TACTGCTGCTGTTAGCTTTCGGCGGAGGAAGCGAGAGGAGAGATATTGATTGGGTCTCTGTGGGTCCATCGGTTGGTTGTTGTTATTGTGTTGCGACGCGGCGGGAGGGAGCGGCCTCTGACTCTGCTCTGGAGAGAGGCACACATACATCACAGCACGGGACCAGTAACACATCACGCTCGTTCCTAGACGATGTAGTACCACTGCTGTGCTGTGCACCTCTCTACACTCATTGTGGGCGAGAGGGTGTGTCGCCTCTGCTGCTGCTGCTGTTGCTGTTATCTAAAGCGGTGGCGGAAGCGTCCTGTTCAAACAATCAGCAGCAGCAGCAGCAGCCGGGGAATTTTTCAACGTTTTTTTCTTCCCTCTCTAGCTGGTGACGATGGATAGCACCCCCCCCTCTCCAGCTTGTGACGATGGATAGCACCCCCCTCTCACGGCTGACGATGGATACCACCCNCGCCCCCCGTTCTTCTGTTCGACGAGAAAATCACACGAGCCAGCCAATGAACAGACGCACGAGCCTACTGCAGGTACTTTTGTGCAAACACCACAAAAAACTATTCTACCTCCCGATCTAGTACTTTCTTCGTGCCCCACCGTCCTCCTGCGGTGCGTGCTGAACTTTCTTGTCATCACGAGAAGGGTCAAGCCGTCCCTTTCCCTCCTCAACCGTGCTACCGTCGAAGCACCTACCTGATTGACTGTGTGGTCATATCACACAACACGAAACTGAAACACGACGTAGAGTGTTTTCCCGGCAGACCCTTGAGCCGAACTCCCATTACATTATCATTGATTGCCCTACGATTTGCGGTATTTGAGAATACCCTTACTCCGTTGTGAGTAAAGTTCCCTGAAATGGTGAATAACTGTTCACCGACGGAGGTAATTTCGCTCTTATTGCCATGTGGCAAGGGATGGCCAAGCGTGGCTGACGTTAGTCGGCCTTGCTAGGGTGGAAGGTGAGAGTTGAGCTTTTGGGCTCGCTTCTACCCTCCGGCTGGTCACAGCAGACGGAGGGTCTTCTTGTTGTAAATATTTTCAGACCACGAGAACGTCGTTCCTGGGGTCACCGGATCTATACGATTGTTGTTGTTGTTGTTGACTTCACATTAAACCGTATGCCAGTTGCTAAATGCCAAAATCTAGCAAAGACTCTCGGCCCGTGGTCACGAAAGTGCTAGAGCCATCTGAGGATCTAAAGAACACGCACACGTA